TGTGCACCCAAGAAAATGATTTCAGCAGCTCTCTGGGGGTCCCCTGAGCCTCACTGCTGGGCCAATGCAGACTCCCTGGGCAGATGGAGGCAGTGGGCCCGACCCCGAGCAGCAGGGCCCGCAGGACGGTGGGGATGCCGGCTCCTCTCCTCAGCACCCTCTCTCCATATGGGAAAGGTCGCGGGGTCCTTGTTCCAATTGTCGGTGGAAGAACAGCAAAAAGAGGCCCTGGCAGAAACAAAAGCCGCAAGACAGCATTGCACAGACATTCCTGGCAGCCCCAGGCTGGAAGCTGGACCTGTGGTTCACGAGCTCCTCCATGTAAAAGAAGCAGCAGAGGACCCAGCGCTGCACAGAGCAGAGTGCAGCTGCCATCTGCTGCCCACATGCCGGGCAGGAGCACATGTGTACGCAAGTGCGTGTCTGAATGGGCAGACATCAGCACGTGTGCATGTGTTTGAATATCAAGGTCCCCTGTCCCTGCTTGCCTGGGGAGGTGGAAGTGCTCGAGTGGAATCAGATGCTGAGATGTGTCTAACACCAAGTCCCACCTAATGGAAACAAGACTCTGGCTCTGCTCCCTAGGACGCAGGTGACCCCTGCCCGCTCCTTGGCCACTTCGGTGGGGCCTGAGTGTCTCTCGGAGGAGACAGCCACCACCCCGGCTGGGGCACTTGACCAATGAAAGCACTTGCCCCTGAGCCACAAGGAAGCCAAGGCAGCAGCCTGTGATCTAAGACAGAACTGCCATCCTGTTACAGACAGACAGGCAGACAGGCGTGCTGCCCCGGGGGACCAAGCAGCTCCCCCACTCAGCCAGCTCCAGGACCCAAGGACCAAGGAAGGAAAGAAAAGCAGCCTAATAACCGCATTTCCCAAGTGCCATGTCCCTGCACAGTCCCATTCCTCCCCGCCACCACCAAAAGTGTCGGAGAGGAAAAGGACACTGAAGTCTGGAAACAGTGCCCCTCGCTCACGTCAAAGGGCTCAGGGGAGGACAGCACCACAGGGCCAGGCACCCAAAACAGGGATTTCTGCTCTCCCTGACTTGCAGTCTGCAAAAATCCCATATGAAGCCGCACTCGCCCCAAGCCCAGCCGCAAGGCTATACAAAGTGCCAAATCGAGGCACAGCAAGTTAAAAAGCAGGTGGAAGGAGCACTTCAAAACACTCATAAAAGGAGACTATGGCGTGGTAGGATCTGTCTCGCGCTCCAGAGTAAACGAGAGAAAACGTAGACACCCAGGTACCTTTCTAAGGGCTCTAAACACAGTCCCCATGTGGGTATGCACTGCATATCCACCGCTCACTCATCTTTGCCTGGACAGATAGTGTTGTTTCTGTACACGTACGTGCTCATTGATAATTAAATAACGTGAAGGTAAGCGGGACAGATTCACTGACCCCACTCCTTTGTGCTGGAAACTCAGGGGTCTCCAGGCACTTTCCCCTGTCCTGCCCCACAGACACCTTGCCTCCTCTGAGTCTTGAGGCCAAGATGGTGTAGGGAGCAGAATGTGTGTGTGTGTGTGTGTGTGTGTGTGTGTGCGTGCGTGCGCGTGCGCGTGTGTGTGTGTGTGTGTGTGCGTGCGCGCGCACGCGCATGCATACATCATATGTTCTCCATTCTCCTGCCTACGGCCCCTTCCAGACCATGGTTACCAGGACGGCTTCTCCTCTCACCCATCTGGCCCTGGGATGGGATGGCAAGGAGACTGAGGGCAGCAGCTCCTCTCTCGCCATGGGGCTCCTCGCGTGGTCAGCCTGGGCCTATGCACTGCTGACAGAGTGGACGCCTACCCTGACCCCTGCAAGCAAGCCCTGGAAGATGGCGATGTGCCTCCAACTGTGAACACGCGAGCACACCCTTTTGGTGTGAGTGAGCAGGTCTCAGTCTGCTCAGGGTGCAGTAACAAAGCATGTAAACCAGGCCACTTACAAACATGCCTCATGGCTCTGAGAAGACCAAGCTCAAGGCCCCAACAGACTCAGGGCCTGGTGAGAACCTGTTTTCTGGTTCTTGAAATCTAATTTTAATTTTCAAATTTAACTTAATCTGAAAGTAATTGAAATCTCTAGCCATCAGTTTTAATTCTAACTTAGTTTAGTTTGAACATTTCAGACATTCTCCGTGGTGACCACTGTCCATAGAGCTGGTGCCCATCTTCTGTGTGGCAGTGCCACCCCTCAGGCTGCGCAGATTGTCCATATGTACAAGGAGGGGACGATGACAGGGAGAGGCAGCCGCCAGCCATCGCACACAGCCGAGCAGTTGGGAGGGGACCCGTACCCCAGGCACAGGGTGGACCGCTGCACAGGGCTGTGCTTCCTCTACTCCCTTCCCTGTGGGGTTGGGACCTGGGGGCCTCACACGTCAGGGTTTCCTGCCAGAGCAGGGACAGGGGGTCCCTGCCTGACATGATAGGAAGGGGATGTGTGAAGCACTCATGGCCTTGAGCCCAGCACTGCTAAGCCCGCCCTGAGCCCACACAGGTGTGGACCCAGGGCCACTGTGCTGACAGAACAAGGCCAGGCAGGACCCTGTGTGACTTCCTGGGATCCCACAGCCATGGGCAGGGATGATGGGGTGAAGACTCCTGGGCTCGGGCCACCACAGCTGTGGGACACTCGGGCAGGCCATGGTCCATCCCGGCCACTGACCTCCCAGCTGAAGCCATGGAAGCCCTGCCCTTCCTGCAAATCGCCCAGCACCCAGAGCACACACACAGCTGCACGTGTGTGCACGTCCCACACTCACAGGCACCCACCATGCGCAGGCGCCCACATCCATATGTGCATGCCCACGCCATGGCCAGCACATGGCACCCCTGCAGCAGCGCCACAGGCCTCCCCCACCCGTGGAGGCTGAGACAGGTCCTTGGATTCCTTCTCTCACCACACAGAAGAGTCCCACAAGAGGGGCCGGCCTCCCCCCACTGACGACAAATCTCTTGTGGGAACCTAGGTGCTCTGCCCTTGACCTCTCTCTGAGGGCCCAGCGCCTCTTAACATTGCACCTGGCATCTGGCACATGAACCTCTGGGGCACAAACCCCAGCCCAACTATGGCAGCATCTGAGGTGAGCATAAAGAAAAGGGAGCCTAGCATCGCTCACGGACAGCCAGGTAAACCCAGACGAGCTGGCAAGGGAGGCAAGGGTCTGCCTCCCACAGCCCTGGGGAAGACTATTTTATCTATTTGAATGTTTACATTCTCGGCCCATATCACTGATTCAAAAAAGTAAATTTTTAAAGAAATAAAGTATTTAAAAACCTAAAGTATCAAGCTAATGCCGAAATGAAGCTTGGGCATTTTAGCCATTGCTATTCGATGCTGGGCAGGAATTGCACCAGTCCTGGAAGGGAGGGGTGTCAGCCCCTAAGCACACTTGGCCCGGGACCCCAGAGAGCCCCACTCCACGTGAAGCGTGTCTGCTGAGTGCAGGCCACATCTTGCCGGTCTCCTGTGAGTCCCTCCTGGGCGGAAGGGTGAGGCCACCTTTGTTTGCTATCACCACTGTCACAGAGATCTCCTGGCTTAGATCACTTCTGTGCATGACCAACTGGGACACGGACACCCCACATCCTTGTCACCAGGCTGAGGCCAAGGGGTCGGTGGGGTGGCACCACTCGAAGGCTCTGGGGAAACCCATCTCCTTGCTTCGCCACTCCTGGAAGCTGTCAGCACCCAGGACAATGTCCCCACCCCGGGTCCTTGACTCCGTAGCTCCCCAGAGTCCCTGGCTGTGGCACAGCCACAAATTCACACAGTGAATCCTAACCCAGTGTGCCGGTGCAGGAGGTGGGGTCCCAGGGGTGACCAGGCCACTTGGCCATGGCCCTCACAAGCAGGATCTGTGCCCCCCAGCGGAGGTCCTGAGAGGACCCCAGATAAGCCGCAGTCGGGGACCGGCACTGCTGTGACACTACCCTCCCAGCCCCAGCACCGTGAGCACTGAGCTACGCTGTGTGTGGCATCTTGGTGTAGACCGCGATGACTTCTGCCACAGGTTCTGGAGATGAGGATGAGCCCTTCTCCAGCCATCGCTGAGCCTGTC